TTCCTATTAAACATTTTCACATTCTGACTATAATGTTTGTAATGGGTTTTGTTTCTCTTGCCTTCTCAATGGATTGGGGAGTGGAGGGAGAAGGGACAGAATTTAGAAATTAAAATAAAATTTAATTTAAAAAAACAGATCAAGGAGAAAAAAAATTAAGAATTATCAGACTAATCCAAATTCCATGACCAAAAATATCCTAGACATCATATTTCAAGAAATCTTAAAAGAAAACTGCCAAGATCTCTTAGAATTAGAAGACAAAGAGGAGATGGAAAGTCAGTCAGTTAATCAATAAGCATTTAATAAACACCTATAACGGTCCACTGGGCAGATAGAGCACCGAGCCTGGAGTCAGGAAGACTCATCTTCCTGAGTTCAAATCTAGCCCCAGGCACTTACTAGCTGTGTGAATCTGGACAAGTCACTTAACCCTATTTGCCTCAATTTCCTCATTTGTAAAATGAGCTGGAGAAGGAAATAACAAACCACCCCAGTATCTCTGCCAAGAAAACCCTACAATGGGGTCACAAAGAGTTGTATACGATTGAAAAATGACTGAACAACAACAACAAAAGTTATGTTCCAGGCACTGTGCTAAGTGCTGAGGACACAAAAAGAGGTAAAAGACAATCTTAGACCTCAAGTAGCTCACAGTCTAATGGGGGAGACAATGAGCAAACAAATACGTACAATCTATATATAGGGTAAATGGGAAAAAATTAACAGAGGAAAGGCACCTGAATTAAGAAGGGTTGGGGAAAGCTTCCTAAAGAAGATGGGATTTTATCTGGGACCTGAAGGAAGCCAAGAGACAGAGATGAGAAGGGAGAGTGTTCTAGACATAGGAGACAGACAGAGAAAATACCCAGAGTCAAGAGATGAAGTATCTCATCCACAGAACAGCCAGGAGGCCAGTGTCACTAGAACAAAGAGTATATGGTGGGAAATGAGGTATAAGAAGACTGAAAGGTGTGGATGAGACTAGGTTATGAAGGGATTTTAACATCAAACAGAGTATTTTGGATATGATCCTGGAGGTGACAGGGAGCCACTGGAGTGTATGTGTGAGTGTGTGTGTGTGTGTGTGTGTGTCGGGGTGGGGTAGGGGTGACTTGGTCTGACTATCACTTTAGGAAAATCACTTTGGCAGCCAAATGGAGGATGGACTGGAGTGAGGAGAGACTTGAGGCAGGCAGACCCACCAGCAGGCTATTACAATAATCCAAGTGTGAGGTGATGAAGGCCTGTACCAAGGTGGGGACAGTGTCAGAGGACAGAAGGGAGAGAGGTTACAAAGGGAAATGGAGAGGCCTTGGCAAAAGACTGGATATGGGAAGGTGAGAGATAGTAAGAAGTTAAGCATGACACCTAGGTTTCCAGCCAAGGGCACTGGGAAGAAGATGGTGAACTCAATTGTAATAGAGAAGTCTGGAAGTAGAGAGAGAAGATGTGTAATTGAAGGTCAGCAGAGAAGTTAGGGCAGGAAAGGTAGATTTGAGAATCATCAGCAGAGAGATGATCATTAAATCCATTGAAGCTGATGAAATCACCAAGTGAAGAAATATAAAGGATGAAGAGAAGAGGGCCCAAGACAGATCCCTGGGGGACACCAATGGTTAAAGAACATGATCTGGATGAGGATTCAGCAAAGGAGACTGAAAAGAATTGGTGTGAAATGAGGAGGAGAACCTGGAAAGAATTGCATCCCAAAAATCTAGAGAGAAGAGAGTATCAAAGTGGAGAAAGTGATCAACAGTATGAAAAGCTGCAGAGAGGTCAAGGAGAATGAGGACTGAAAAAAGGCCATTGGATTGGCAACTCAGAAATCATTGGTAACTTTTGAGAGAGCAGTTTCCATTGAATTATGAGGTCAAAAGTTCAATTGTAGGGGAGTTAAAAAAAGAGTGAGAGGGGGCAGATAGGTGGCACAGTGGAAAGAGCACCGGCCCTGAAGTTAGGAGTACCTGAGTTCAAATCCGGCCTCAGACCAAACGCTTGACACTTACTAGCTGTGTGACCCTGGGCAAATCACTTAACCCCAATTGTCCAAAGGAAAAAAAAAAAGAGTGAGAGGAGAGAAAGTGGAGGCCCTATGTCTATAGGATGATAGCGGGGAATGTATCAAGTGAATGTTTTTTAAGAATGGGAGAGACATGGGCAAGACATAGGCATGTTCACAGGCAATAGAGAAAAGCCAGTAGACAAGGGAAGACTGAAGATAAGTGATAGAGACGGGATAACAGAAGAGACAATCTGATGGATTGGATGTTAGGATGGAATGGGATCACTTGAGCAGGTTAGTCTTGGTAAGAAGTAGGGCAACCCTTTTGTGTGGTGGATGGTGGGAGTGATCTAAGGCTTAGCAGGATGTAATCAACAATATAATAAGGAGGCCAGAGAATTAAGAGAAGAGTACAGTGTAGAGTTGAACTGATTCACCAAGGGGTCAAGATAGGGAAAAGAAGTGAGTATAATGAGTACAAAGATGATGGTCTAGGAGAGAACTGAGGAGTTGAGGGATTGAAGGTCATGGTGTGGATAAAGAATAGGGTTTGGTAAGGGAAGGTAGAAAGAGAAGTGGAAAACCAATAGATTATGGTCAGATAACTTCTTGAACATGGAAGTGGTGCATTTGTGGGTGATGGCAAGATCAAAAGTATGACCATCTTTGTATGTGGCTGAGGTGGGGTGAAGGACAAGCTCATGAGAAGTGAATAGGTTGGGGAACTGAGTGCTTAGGGTGTTTGAAGGAGAGACAATATGTATGTTGAAGTCTATTAGTATGAGGGCAGGAGTTGGAGAGGAGAGAAAGACTGTGAGCCAGATACTAACTTATTGAGGAAGGAAGGAGAGTGACCTGGAGGTCCCTAGGCAACAGCTACCAGGATTTTGATTGGGTGGAAGTTGTGAATTGTATGAACTTCAAAGAAAGAGAGGTTACTGAATGACAGAAATAAGAGAGAACCTGGAAGTGGCAATGGGGAGCAGGGAGTATTTCAACTTCTCTGCCTTGACCAGTGAGCCAATGGAATGAGTTGAAGGTACAGCCAGTACTGGAAAGAGTAGCCGGGAACACTGTGTCATCAGGGGTAAGTCAGGCCTTGGTGATTGCTTAAAGATGGAAGGAGTGGAAGAGGAAAAGATTTAAGATGAAAGCAAGTTTGTTGCCTATGGAACAGGCATTCCAGAGGGCACAGTAGAAGGGGTGGATGGTGTTGGTTGGGACTTTGGGGTTGGAAGGTTGCAGGGAATGGGAATAAGAATCAAGTGGGGATGAGGAATGGAATTTGGCTAATGTCCTACAGACATTCAGAATCACTGGGTGGGTGACTTTCTGACTTTCTCCAAGACATTGCTAGGACAAGGACAGAAGGGCAACACCCAAGCTGTCCAGGGTGGGAGGTAAATGACAAAGGGATGTAAAAGAGCTGCCTCCCTTCCTACTTCTGAAAAGCACATAGATCTAAAGTGAGGAAAGATGTCTAAAGCTTCACCCCTCTCCTCCAACTCCCCAAAGGTGAGTGAAATCAGGGAGCCAAATAGAGTCAAATAAACCTATTTCCATGCCACAAACTTGCTGCATATATTATTTCATATTCCATCTAGCTTTTCAATGGAAGCCTCCACCAATACCATGGGGACAGTCCTCATCACGAGTTGCCCAGGGATCTTTCCAACAACGTCTGGAGAAGCTCATCATCCATTGGGCTGTAACCCACCTGGACCGTCTCCTCAAGACTAGAAGAATCAGGCCATTAAGGAGGGGAAAGGGGCCAGTCCCAGTGGGGCCATTGTAGGGCATAGAGGTATGCAATGGTTTGGAGGAGGAGACATCACAAATCCTGACATTTCCTCATGAATTATGGGTCCATAGAGTGGGTGAAGCTGTCAAAGTAATCTTCCTAAAGAGTAGATATCACCCCCTACTCAGTAAACTCCAGTGGCTGCCTATCACCTCCAGGATCAAACAGAAAGTGCTCTGTTTGGCTTTCAGAGCCCTTCATCCTTATTGCCCTACCTTTCTAGTGTTCTATGCCCCACCATAGACTCTGTGATCTGATGATGGCGGCCTTCTTGCTCTTCCTCTAACATCACACTCCATCTTTTGACTCCATGACTTTTCAATGACTGTCCCCCATGCCTGGAATGTTCTCCCTTCTCATCTTCACCTCCTGGCCTCCCTAGTAGTCCCACCTTCTATAGGAAGCCTTTCCTGACCCCCTTAATTCCAGTGCTTTCCCTCCATTAATTATCTTCAATTTATCCATTGTGTAGCCTGTTTGTATGTCCCCTATTAGACTGTGAGTTCTTCAAGGTCAGAGACTAGTTTTTACCTTTCTTTGTAGCCCCAGTACTTAGTACAATGTCTGACAGGTAGTAGGTCTATTGGCTGACTGACTGACCCAGGCCATGCCTCTCCCCTGGCTGGCCTGGGCAGTAGGGTCCCTGCTCTCTCAGTACTTAGAAAAACACAATTTGAGGGGCAGCTAGGTGGTGCAGTGGATAGAGCATCAGCCCTGAAGTCAGGAGGACCTGAGTTCAAATCCGGCCTCAAACCAAACACTTGACACTTACTAGCTGTGTGACCCTGGGCAAGTCACTTAACCCCAATTGCCTAAAAAAATAAAAGAAAATGGAGGGCAGGAACCTTTAAAAAAAAAAAGAAAAGAAAAACACAATTTGACAAGAGCTTTAATTCTCTTGGGGTATTTTTAAAGAAGGGATTTCATAATTACTCTTAAGATACTGGAGAATATTGGGCAACTGATCACCTCCTGTCTTCTCACAGTTCTCTTCCACATGCTGCCTCACCCTGCATTCAACTCAATTTAAGAAGACAAGACCTCTACGTTAATTTCTTCAGTTGCAAGATTCAGGGGTTGTAATGTTAGGGGTAGAAGGGCCTCTGAGGTCCTCTACCTATAGAGGCTACAGCCTCCTAAATTCCAACATGTGAACACATAACCTCATCTTGAACAGCCCAACCATGCTCTTACCTTTAGGCAGTCTCCCTGAGTGCAAAGGACTGACACTGGTGAGGCCATGAGGGTATATATTGTATGGTCTGCTTGCTAAGTTTTTGAATATGATCTGAAAGGATAAACAAAACATTGGTTCAAGTCCTAAAAGAAGGCAAAATTGGAGCCTGTAAAAGAAAGATCTGACCTCTAAAGTCAAAAGCTACCAATTAGGGGCAGCAAGGTGTTGCAATGAATAAAGCGCTGGGCCTGGAGTCAAGAAGACTTGAGTTCAAATCCAGTATCAGTCACTTACTAGCTGTTTGAATCTGGGCAAGTCACTTAAAACAAACAAAAAACAAAACAAAACAAACACCACCCCCCTTGTTTGCCTCAGTTTCCCCATCTGTAAAATGGGAATAATAATAGCACCAACCTCCCAGGACTATTGTGAGGATCAAATGAGATAAAGCACTTAGCACAGTGCCTGGCACATAGTAAGCATTACATAAATGTTAAGAAAAAACATGTACTAACATGCTGAGAATATCTCCCTCCCCCATTCACAGGTAAGAAGGTTGGAGCAGAGAAGCCCAAGTGTATTTTTTCCTAATAAGGAGATCACATTTGCAGAGGACTTTACAGTTTACAAAGCATGTCCCTTACAGTATTCTTGGTTTTTTTTTTTAATTTTTTTTTCATTTTTATTCTGAGTTCCAAATCCTCTCTTTCCTTCCCACTCCCCTCCTATCCACTGAGTAGGCAAGAAATATAATACTCATTATACAGATGAAGTCATGCAAAACACATTTCTGCATTAGCCATGTTGTGGTGTCAGGGCAGGGGGGAGGTTCATGGAAGGGAAGTAAGAGAAATAAAGTGAAAAAATCTGCTTCAATCTACACTCTGAGCTCATCAGTTCTCTCTCTGGAGGTGGAGAGCATTTTTTACCATGAGTCCTTTGGAATTAATTGTTTTGACAGTCTTGTGAAATAGGGAACATAAGCACTCTTATTTTACAAATGAGAAACTTCAGGCTCAAAGGTAAAAATGACTCATCCAAAGTCACACAGATAGTAAATAGAGAATCAGGGACTTGAACCCAGATTTTCTTCTTCCAAATCAAGAACTCTTTCTGCTACACCCTCTGACCCAATGTGGTTTGCCTCATGTCGGGGAATGCTCTGCCTGATGTTTTTAGGATAAATAATTGGTTTATTTTCCACCAGTTTAGTTAGGTCACATGGACTAGTAGTTGGTACAACAGGAAAAGCACTGGATTGAGGGTCAAAGGGCCTGGGTTCACATCTAGACCAATTGATTATGAGTAAGTCATGGTCCTTCTCTGGGCCTCAGTTTCTTCATCTGTAAAATGAGAAGAGTTGGCCTGGAATCCATCATTCACACATAGTCTCTCCCTGCCTGCCTACTGCTACCATTGGGTGGCTGACAACCACCAAGTGTCTCACTAGTGAACTTGCCCCAGGTCACCCTGCTCCCTCTTGAGGAAAGACTGAGAAAGCAGTTCACTTCTGAAACAAAATCTGACTCTCCTCTCTCCAATGGTCCCTGGAGGCATTCTTCCCAGAAGTAGCTTAAGGTGGTGACTAGACAGGGTTATGGGCCCTAGATTTAGTCATCTAATAGCTGCATCCTCTTTCTCCAAGCCAGAAAGGGATTAGGGTAATGATCCACCCCAAAGAGGTAGCTAGGTGGTGCAGTGGATGGAGCGCTAGGGCCTACTGGGCCTGAAGTCAGGAACAGGCAAGTTCAAATCTGGTTTCAGATGCTTATTTGCTGTGGGACCCTAGGTAAACCATCCCCAAGAGTTGCCTCTGGGGAGCCATGGGCATTCTCCCTACCCCCACCCCAACCCCCACTGGACCTATGACCATGGGTTCCTGAGGATCTCTTGCCCTGTCCCCAGGGGATGGCTATAGTGAGGAGGATAACTGTATGGACTTGTGAGCTGAGATGGTAGGGCCAGGCTATAGCCACACATCAGTCATCTACTGGCAAAACTCATCTTCTGCAAGATCACATCAAGTCTGAAACTCACATCTCCTCAGTACCCCTGCCCCTGGGGCCCATCCCTGGAACCCTCCCTTTGACTGGACAGGGTGAAGGTGGACCTCAGAAAGCCTTGCCCCCAGACCCTCTATTTAAGGAGGGGGCCTAGGACAGCCACCTCATCATTTCCCTCCAGGACAAATTATTTCATCAGTTCCCCTCCTTCCCCTCTCCCTTTCAGTTTATTTTATTTTATTTTTTTAATGTGTATGTGTTTTCTTTGCCTGTTATTGCAGTAGCTGCTGCTGGGTCTTCCTGCCTCAAGGTTCTCCCCACTCCAACCCATCCTCCATTCGTGCACTAAAGTGATTTTTGTAAAGCACAAGTCCCATCATGTTACCTCCTCTACTCAATAAACTCTAGTGGCTCCCTATGGCCTCTAAGATCAAATTGAAAATCCTCTCTTTGGCTTTTAAAGCCCTTCATAATCTGGCCCCTTCCTACTCTTCCAGTCCTCTTGCACCTTACTCAACCTCTGTCCCCCCTCCCCACCCCATACTCCATAATCCAATGACACTGGCCTCCTTGCAGTTCCTACCACAAGACACTCCATCTCCATACTCCAAGCACATTAGCTGTCTCCAATGCCCGGACCTCTGCCTCTCCTCACCAACTCCTCCTGGCTTCTCAGGCTTCCTTCAAATCTCAATTAAAATCACGCCTTTGAAAGAAGCTTTTCTTGATCCCCCTTAATACAGGTGCCTTCCCTCTGAGATAATCTCCAGTTTATCCTGTATATATCATGCTTATACCTGGTTTCCTCCATGTTGTCTCTCCCAGTAGATTGGAATCTCCTATTTGTTGTTGTTATTTTAATTTTGTATCCCCAGAATTTAGCACTGTGACTGGTGCTTAATGAATGCTTGTTGGCTTGTCTTTGTGCCAAGGTCTTCTCCAAATGCTTCAGAGGCCATTCCCAGATCATGTTCACCTCCAATTGCCAGCTCCTCCCTCCAGACCATTGCATGACCCCTTCCTGCCTGCTGTGACTCTAGCCTCTTGACTTCACAGAATACAACAGCACCAACTGAGACAAGGTTAGACATCGATGGAAAGTCTTGAACAGTTAACTCAGCTGCCTCTCTCAATCTACCACTCTCCAACCACTGACAATCTCCTTAGACCCATTCTTCAATAGTTAGCATACTCCCAATACACACTCCTCATCTCAGTAATTCTGAACCTCGCAGCTGTCACTGTATTAATCCTATTCTCTATGCCCCACTGCCTGCCTCCTGGCTCCCACTCCCTGCAATCACACCCACCCAAATATCCCACCTCAGACCTACCCACCCCTTCCACTATGTTCTCTGGATATCCTTCTTCACGGGTAACAAATTAGTTTTCATCTTAAACCTTTTTCCTTTCTTGCTCCCTCCATCTTCTTGCTCTCAATGAGACCCTAATGATATAGCTTCCCTGGGCACCTTTTCCAGCACAGGCTACACTTTCACTCATATCCACAACTCACTGGTTGTGGTGGGGGAGTCAGAACACTCCTTGCTCTCCAGCACCACTCCCAGGCTCTCTCTCCATCCCTATCACTCAGAAACCTCTCCTTTTTTGTGGTTCATTCAATCCAAATTTATCACCCAATCAAGATTCTGGTAGCTGTTGTTTACTGATCTTCAGAACATTCTTCCTTTCTCTCTCAGAATCCTCCCTCCTCCCTCACGATCTTTCTCTCCTCCTCAACTCTAGTCCTCATACTAGGAGATATGCACATAGATATGTATGTACGTATATGTATACATATACACAAGACAGTGAGAGAGCTGCCTCCAACACCTCCTAAGGTCACAGTTCTTCAGTCTACTTCCTGCTCACTTCTACCCCACCTCAACTATGCACAGAGATAGTCATACCCATGATCTTGGCATAAGTCACCAGTGTTCCACTTCCATGCTCATGAAGACTAAAATTCCTTTGGCTGATCATTCCACCTATCTTGGAAATACCAATATTGTTTTGGGCCTCACTCCTCAGCTCTTTCCCAGGTTATCACTCCTGCTCTGGCCACACTCTCCCCCTTTACTCTATCTCAACCCCTTAGGGAACCAGCTCCACTCTGCACTATACTCTATACTCAAGGCCTTTGCTCTCTTATCCTATCACAGACCATGCCCTGTCAAGCCTTGGATTACTCTGATTATCTGCTGCTTTCACTGCTATTCATGTGCTGCTGACTCAAGCTGGAGAAAATCACAAAATTATGCTGCCTAGGTCCATTTCAAATTTATGTTATGTAATCTCACCTGGACCCTCACCAATGCAAAGCCATCTTCTTACACCTCTCTAATTGATTCTCTATCTTACTGACCAGTGTTTGTTCCAGACATTTTCAAGTTTCCCTTGGCATCTCAAATCCCAGTCTTTTAGCTAAGGACCCTGTGTCATACCTTTCAAAAAAAAAAAATGAAGGTCATTTGCCAAGAACTCCCTCTTCTCCCCTCCCCCTCCGCATCTTACATCACTCAGATGCCTTCCCTCACTATCTTCTCCTCCTTCCCCCCCTATCTCACATGAAGAAGTGGCAAGGCAAACTCCTCTATATGAACCCTTGATCCCATTCCATCCCATTTTTGTCTCACTGTGACCTCCAGCCCCTCAGTTCTCAGACAGCAGATTGCCCCCTCTATCATCTCCACTCTCTCACTAATCTTTAGGCTCTATCTACTGGCTGCTCCCCTGTTTACTACCAACGTGGCAATGTCTTTCCCTTTCCTAAAAAATCCTCTCTTGATCTGACCATCCCCACTAGGTATGGTCACATATCTATCCTCTTTCATGGCTGAAATCATCGAGAAAGCCATCTACAGTTGGTACTTCCATTTCTTCTACTCTTACTCTCTTCTAAACTCTCCCCAGGCTTGCTTCTGATCTCATAATTATACTGACACTACTCTCTCCATAGTTGCCAATGATCTTTTAATTGCCAAATTTAATGGCCTTTTCTCAATGCTCATTCTTCTTGACCTCTCTGAAGTCCTTGATACCCTCATTGCCTGGATACTCTCTTCTCTCTAGGTTTTCATGACATTCATCTCTCCAGATTCTCCTTCTACCTAGATGACCCCTCTTTAGTCTCCTTTGCTAGATCTTCATCCAGGTCATATCCACTAGGTGTGGGGGGGCCCCCAAAAGCTCTCCTAGGTCCTCTTATCTTCTCCCTCCATACTGTTTCACTTGATGATCTCATCAGCTCCCACAGATTAAATCATTATTTCTACAAATATGATTCTAAGATCTATTTATCCAGCCCTATCTTCTCTCCTGACTCTAGTCTCACATTATCAACTGACTATTATACATATCGAACTTATTGTCCTTCAGGCATCTCAAATTCAACAAGTCCAAAACTGAACTCACTATATTTTCCCCATTCCCCTACCCCTAACCCTCTTCCTAACTTCCCTATTACTGTCAGGGGCACCACCATTCTTCCAGTCACACAGGCTTGCCATCTTGGTTGCATCCTCAACTCTTCCTCATTCAAACTGACTCCCCATAATATTTGATCTATCCCAGCTGTTTCTGTCTTCACAATGTCTCATATATACATCCCCTTATCTCCACTCATACATGCTCTCATCGCCTCACTCCTAAACTATTGCAATAGTTTGCTGATTGGTCTTCCTGTCTCAGATCTCTCCCTACTCCAGTCTGTTCAAGTATCACAATAATTTCTAAAAGGAAATGATAATGGAAACTTCCACAGTAGGATTATAGTCGCCAGAGTGATATTCTTTAAGCATAGGTCTAACCATGTAACCTTCTCATTCAATGAATCCCAGTGCCTCCCTATAACCTCCAGGATCAAATATAAAATCTTCTGTTTGACTTTTAAAGCCTTTTATAACCTGGCCCCTTCCTACCTTTCCAGTTTTCTTATACCTTACACCCTCCATGTACTCTGTGATCCAGTGATCACTCTGGCTCTCACTGATTGGCCAACAATAGGTCCCAGCCTAAGCCCCACTTAGTAGTCACTGTTTGGGCTCCGGTTGGCTCAGAGTGAGTGTAAACAGCAATTGTTTCTGTTTTGGCCAGAAACCCTGAGGGTCTTCCCCTCCCAGATTGATTTTTTTTTTTTTACTATGTAATAGAAGCCATTCTCTGTCTCATTTCTTACCTAGCCTTAATCAGTGAATGAGTGCTGCCTCAGTCAAATTGAGACCTTAGCTTAAAAAGGCCAACGTCTCCCACTGCTTCCAGGGCCATCTCCTATCATCTTGATCTATATCTTGCCACTGACCCAGATGGCTTCAGAGGAGAAAGTGAGGCTGGTGCCTTTGCACAGCCCTCCCTCACTTAAATCCCATTCATTTGCAAGGCATGGCATCACCTTCCTCATGCCACAGTTCTCTCAGAGAATAAAGGATAAACAACGATCCAGTGATACCAGCTTCCTCACTGTTTCTTCTACAAGACCCTCTATCTTCCAACTTGGGGCTTTTTCCCTGGCTGTCCCATCCCCCTTCCCTGGAACGCTCTCCCTCATATCTGCCTCCTGGTTTCCCAGGCTTCCTTCAAGTCCCAGCTAAATTCCCACCTTCTACAGGAAGCTTTCCCAGTCTTCCTTCTGCTGATTATTTCCAAATTGTCCTGTCTATATCTTGTTTGTACACAGCTGTTTTAATGCTGCCTCCCTGATTAGACTGTGTGCTCCTTGAGGGCAGGGACTGTCTTTTGCCTTTCTTTTTATTCCCAGAGCTTAGCACAGTGCCTGGCCACACAGCTATTAAGTTATTAAGCACTACTATTAGTGTTCATTAATACCACATTGCTCTTGGTTATTAAGCACAATGAGTTTAATAAATGTTTGTCTATGTTAATGTAGATGCTTCTACAAGGGGGTAGCCAGAATGGGAATGTGACCTATGACTCCACAGAGAATGTGAACTACCTTGAGTAAATGTAAACAGCAAACAAAGCTCCAACTATCCCCTGGGAACACTTGCACATGACCCTTTGCTCTGTTTCTATATACTACCTGACATGGCCTGGGGTTGGTGCAGGAATCCATGATTTTACTTCATCTTGCTGTCACCCAGGATGACTGACTTCTTGTAAGTGAAGTCCCCCAATTAACCTAATTAACCCTAATAAAGCCTAGTAATAACCAAGGACCTCTCTTTCTTTGGTACCTCAGTATTCTCTTGGAGGGTATGCCACCCTACAACTGGCATAATCAGGGCAGAAAAGATCTGCCTTCTTACAGTGTTGGTGCTGCTGCTATCTGACCACATGACCTGCTGTTACAAAAATGTCAATACCCCTGTGCCATGTTACCCTGTTTCCATCCTCCAAAGTTCTGCTTTTTCCCAAGCTCTTTCTAGCTTTCTGATTGCCTAATGGAGAAAGCCTACATTCCAGCTCATCTTAATGCCTGCTAATATTCTTGGGCAGACTGCTACAAGCATCACTGTCCTAAAGTCATAGATTTCAAGCTGGATGGACCCTCAGAGGTTGCCTGGTATAACCTCCTCATTTTTATCAAGGAGAAACTGAGGCCCAAAGAGGTCAGATGACTTGCCCTAGCTGGGATCTGGACCCAAGTTTTCTGCTTCAAAGCCCAATGTTCTTGCCACTCTGACACATCCCTTTAATCAGATAGTCTCTAATCTTTTTATGTTTCTGGATGTTAGCCAGGAATTTGACAAAGCCTTGTATGGAATTCTCCTGTATAGGAATAGAGACTCGACATATGATTGTGTAGATATATGTAACTGCCAATTGAGTAAACTCCCTCCACCAATGCAGGTCAGCACTTCTCTGTAACTTCCTATCATAAAGGGTTGCCTAGAGCACTGAGGGGTTCAGTGACTTGCCCAGGGTGGATGTGACAGCCAACATGAGTCAGAGGCACAACTTGGGCTCCCAGCCCTTCCTTACACTAAGGCCAACTCTCCATCCACTACCCCACAGCTGCCTCTATTCTCATGTATGAAATAGCAAAATGTGAGCTGGATGGTCATCCAAATAAGGTGGCTTTGTGGTCAGTTGAATAAATCATACCCAAAGAACATTGATTAACTTTCTTTTTTTTTTCCACAGATTAACTTTCAAAGGTCTTCCCAGTGGAGTGCCACCAGGGGTCAGTTATTGGCCCTGTCTTAAAATCAAAGGATGCTCAATTTAGAGCTGAAGGGGGCCTTAGGCATCAACTAATTCAAGGGGTGAAAAGGGCAAGGGAAATGACTTGTCCAAAGTCATGCAAGCAGCAACTGGAAGATGTGGCTTGGAGATTCAAATCTAGGTGTCATTTTTCTTTTTTTTTGTTTTTGTTTTTGTTTGCTTTTTGCTAGGCAATTGGGGTTAAGTGACTTGCCCAGGGTCACACAGCTAGTATGTGGTATGTGTTGTGTGTCTGAGACCACATATGAACTCAGGTCCTCCTGACTTCAAGGCCAGAGCTCTATCCACTGCACCACCTAGCTGCTCCTAGGCCTCATTTTTCTAGCTTTTTCTATTTCCAGCTCAGTGTCCCAGATCCCCTCCCCCTCTTACCAAAAGTGTGTCCCCAACTTCTCCATAAAGCAAAGGTCCCAAAATGCCTGATTCGTGTTGACTAGACTCAGGAGTCTTGAAGGTTTCATCTGTGTAGGCTATGTATCGGGCTTTCTTATACTTCCTGCCAAGCCACTGAGGATGACTGTTCAGATAATGACTTTTAGAACCTCTGCAAAGAAGGAAAAAAGATGACAGGGTGATATGAAGCTCTCATCATAAGTCCTAAGGGAAGGATAAGAGGCTGAAATCAGTTCAGAAGCTCTGAGCAAGGAAAGCTTGTGTGGCTGACACAGAATCATAGGAAGGAGGGCTGGCAAGGACCTTGAAGGAGGCAACAACGCTAGTAGGCAACCCAAAGGCAGCACTTGGCTACATATCTCCTCACATTTGAGCCCTTCCTCAGCCTTGTCAGGTAGTTACTGTATTATCCTTGTTTTACAGAAGAGGAAACTGAGCCTGAGAGGGGTGAAGTGATTTGCCCAAGGTCATATTAGCACTAAGTGGCAGGCCTCTGGAACCCTCATTCTCCACCTCCGAACCCAGCAGCCTTTTCACTACTCAGTGCTGTTTGCCACATTGGAATAAAAACGGGAAGGGGACAAAGCTGGATAATACCTATCCAGTCTCAGCTGTCCTGGCACTGGTCCATCTAGTTGAGGGATCCCCCAACCAGATGGAAACGATTCCTCAGCTGCATCAAGTTCCACTGAATGAAGGTGATGGGAAGTATCTTTGGAGCAGGGGACCAAGAGGGTAGGCAGAGAAGAGGGCCAGACTCAGAATGGGAAGTGGACAGTGACCTACCTCTGGCCTACCCCAACTCACCTGGCTGAGGAGTCAACAAGGGATGCAGGTGCATAGTCCCAGTCTACCTCTTGTACTGCAATGTAATGAAACCAGGCTTTGGGGTGCTTCTTGGCCACTGAGCGTGCTTGGAGGAAGGGAGAATCGCTGGCATCAGCCAACAAGAACACCTCAGTGTCCTGCTCATAATCATCATAGTAATCCTCTGAAATGCTCTCCCTCTGGACCAGGGGCTCCTCAGGACAGGCTTCCACATGGACATAGGCTTCCATGCCATCTGGGGTATAACAAGACAAGTCTTGGTTAGCAGAAGCCCTGAGAGCCTGGCCTCTGTGAGGACAGCAACCCCCAACAAAAACCACACTGTTTTCTGACCTCTCCTTTGATTACTCCACTGGCTGAGCAAATCCCAACTACCCAAGTTGGCCTTCCCATGGCCTTTGCCTCCTTGACAGCTCCAATCTCAATGTTCCTCCACCTGGATTCTTCTCTGAGGTCGAGTACATCTACTGTAGTCTTGAGGCTTCCAGCCTCCCTAATCTGGCCTGAGTGGCCTCCCACTTCCCAGAGCACCCTTCAGTCAGCAGGGGTTCTTAACATGGAATCTTAGCTAAGCCAGGAGAGGGCTTTAGGGTAGGGTTGGTGTACCTCCACACTACTGGAGAAATGCTATTTCCTTCCTGTCAAGCTCATAAAAAGAAACCCCATCCCTACAACTGCATGGTTAGTGAGGCAGGAAGAGGCCTTGATTCATTCTATTTCTCAGCAGCTTTTACCCCAAACCATCTGCTGCAATTACTTCTAGCCATCTCAGCACCTGCTCCCATGTTGCTTTCTTCTTTGCTTTTTTTTCTCCAGTCTCTGGCCCCAAAGTGAGACACAGTCCAGTGACTTTGGCTTTTGCCCCCACCCTTAGTTTCTCCTTATCATCTTTTCCTTGTAGGGATTTCTCCACCTTACCACCACACACCATGGATAAAGGGAATTGCTCCCACAGGAATATTTCCCTTGCTTGGGGATTCCCCAGCTCCACACTCAAAGCCCCACATTTCCCCTTTTTTTTGGCTCAGTTATGTGAAGTAGCTAACGGACCAGGCTGCAATACCACTTTGAGACCAGTAGGTGTTGCCATTGACCATCATCTTCCAGGAGTGGTTCCCAGAAGTGCTAGTACAACACATCTGTTCATTCGATTCAGTTATTTCTGACTCTCCATGACCTCATTAGGGGTTTTCTTGGCAAAGACACTGAAGTGGTTTGCCATTTCCTTTTCCAGCTCATTTTATAGATGAGGACACTGAGGCAAGCAGTGTAAAGTGACTTGTCCAGGGTCACACAGCTAGTTAATTGTCTGAGACCAGAATTAAATTCAGGAAGATACTCCAGGCCTGGTGCTCTTATCCACTTTACCTCCTAGCTGCCCATAGCACATCTAGCACCTTTGAAATGAAGGTGTGGCATCAGACTCTTGATCATAATTCAGCTGTAACTAGCTTAGTATGTGTCTCATCACTTTCTTGTTTTGAGGACAGACCAAGAGACTAGGAAAAGAAGAGAGCAAAGACAAAAAGTAAAAATTTGAGACCAGGTAGAGCTACTTCTTGCCTGTCTCCTGCCTTTAAGGTGGACCCCTGCCCATTTGCAATTGTTCACAAATTAGTAGCCTTTAGGGCAGCTAGGTGGCACAATGGATAGAGCACCGGCTCTGAAGTCAAGAGGACCTGACTTCAAATCCAGACTCAGACCAAACACTTGACACTAGCTGTGTGACTCTGGGCAAGTCACTTAACCCCAATTGCCTTAATAAAAAAAAAGAAAAAAAACAAATTAGTAGTTTTTGTTATTGGTGGTTTGGGATGACTGTACTTGTCTGGGGCTCTGCTGATGGAGGAATAGAGGGTCATGGTTCAAAGCTGAGCTGAAAGAAGGAAACAAGCTAATCTGGGAATGAGGTGGCCACTCTTAGCCATGAGTTCATTTTACCACAGATGGGGATGACGAGTTGAAGAGGACCAGAGAACTCCTCAGTAGAAAGGTTTTGGGGCTTCAGGGGATGGGCAAAAATAGGAAGAGTTTTATTCTTTTTTTTTTATAAATAAACAACATTTATTACCAATAATGATTTGTGCAAGAATTAGTGCAAAAGATAGTCCCAGGGGCACATTATTAAAACAAGAGGTGGGCTGATCAGAGCAAGAAAAAAGAAAGCAAATGGGTAGCCCAAATTATTTCTTGGTATCCACATAATATTTTTTCCAGCCTTGTTTATTTATTTATTTATTTAGTTATTTGTTTTCAATGTTTACTTCCACAAGATTTTGAGTTTCAAATTTTCACCCCATCTCGACCCTCCCCCCACCCCAAGATGGCATGCACTCTGAATACCCCTTCCCCTAGTCTGCCTTCCCTTCTATCTCTCCCCTCCCCTTCTCTTATCCCCTTCCATTTTCCTGTAGGGCAGGATGGATTCCTGTACCCCATTTCCTGTATTTCTTATTTCCCAGTTGCATGTGAAAACATTTTTTTTAAACATGTGTTTTTAAAACTTTGGGTTCCAAATTTTCTTCCTTCCTCCCTCCCCACCCACCCTCATTGATAAGGCAAGCAACTAAATATAGGTTATATATGTGCAGTTATGCAAAACACTTCCATAGTAGACATGCTGTGAAAAACTAACTCTATTTCCCTTAATCCTATCCCACCCACCCATTTACTCTATTTTTTCTTTTGACCCTGTCCCTCCTCAGAAGTATTTGCTTCTGATTACTCCCTTTCCCAATCTGCCCTCCTCTCTATCATTCCCCTACTCTCTTGTCCCCTTCCCCCCTATTTTCCTGTAGGGTAAGACAGATTTCCACACCCAATTGAGTGTGTATGTTATTCCCTCCTTAAGTCAAATCCTATGACGATAAGATTCACTCATTCCCTCTCACCTTCCCCCGTTTCCCCTCCACTGTAAGAGCCTTTTCTTTTCTGTTTTGTTTTTTTTTTTTTGTGGGATAATTTACCCCGTTCTACCTCTCCCTTTCTCCTTCTCCTAGTATATTCCTCTCTCACCCCTTAATTTTATTCTCCAGATATGACCCTTCATTATCAACTCACCCTGTGCCCTCTATCTATCTATCTATCTATATCTATATACACGTACATATAATTTTTTCCCCTCCAACTACCCTAATACTGACAAAGGTCTCATGAGTTACAAATATCTTATATGCAGGAATGTAAACAGTTCAACCTTAATAAGTCTCTTATGATTTTCTCTTTCCTGTTTACCTCTTCATGTTCCACTCGAGTCTTATATTTGAAAATCAAATTTTCTATTCAACTCTGGTCTTTTCATCAAGAATGCTTGAAAGTCCTCTATTTCACTGAATGACCATTTTTTCCCCTGCAGGATTATACTCAGTTTTGCTGGGTAGGTGATTCTTGGTTGTAATCCTATCTCCTTTGTCCTGCAGAATATTATATTCCATGCCCTGCAGTCCCTTAATGTAGAAGCAGCTCAATCTTGTGTTATCCTGATTGTGTTTCCACAATACTTGAATTGTTTCTTTCTGGCTGCTTGTAATATTTTCTCCTTGACCTGGGAACTCTGGAATTTGGCTACAATATTCCTAGGAGTTTTCCTTTGGGGATCTCTTTCAGGAGGAGATTGGTGGATTCTTTCAATTTCTATTTTGCCCTCTGGTTCTAAAATATCAGAACAGTTTTCCTTGATAATTTCTTGAAAGATGATGTCTAGGCTCTTTTTTTGATCATGGCTTTCAGATAGTCCAATAATTTTTAAATTCTCTCTCCTGGATCTATTTTCCAGGTCACTTGTTTTTCCAATGAGATATTTCACATTGTTTTCTAATTTTTCATTCTTTTGGATTTGTTTTACAGCGTCTTGATTTCTCATAAAGTCACTAGCTTCCAATTGCTTTATTCTAATTTTTAAGGAAGTATTTTCTTCAATAATCTTTTGGACTTTTCCATTTGGCCAATTTTGCTTTTTAGGGCATTCTTCTCCTCATTGGCTTTTTGGACCTCTTTTGCCATTTGGGTTAGGCTATTTTTTAAGATGTTATTTTCTTTAGTATTTTTTTGGATCTCCTTTAGCAAGCTGTTAACTTGTTTTTCATGATTTTCTTGCATCACTATCAGTTTTTCCTCTACTTCTCTTACTTGCTTCTCAAAATCCCTTTTGAGCTCTTCCAAGGCCTGGGACTGATTCATATTTTTCTTGGAGGCTTTGGATGTAGGAGCTTTGGCTTTGTTGTCTTCTTCTGGTTGTATGTTTTGATCTTCTTTGTCATCAAAGTAAGATAATATAATAGTCTGACTCTTTTTGCGCTGCTTACTCATGATCCTGGACAATTACTTGAGTTTTAAACTCTGTTAAGGTAAAAGTCTGCTTCCAATGTGAAGAGTGTAGTGTCCCAAGCTTTGGGGGTTTGTACAGCTGTTTTCAGAGGTACTTCTAGGAACCTGTAAATTTTCAGTTCTTCCAAGGTGGTATGATAAGGGGCGAGGTGTTTCCTCTCCACCACCACAACAAGCTCCATCGCACCAGCGTTCCTCCTCGCCACAGGACCTCTCCTCAGAACTGCGACCCAGATCCAAGCACGGGCAAAGCAAGAGATTCCTGCCTCAGCACTGGCAAAGAGATTCCTGCAATCCCCCTCTGATCAGCCACTCGATTCCCCCTCAGTCTGTGGGCCAGAAGCTCAGGAAACAGCCGTGGCCCCGGGCCGCGCTCGAGACTTGTGGCTGAGACGTAGCTCCTCTGTCACTGCAGTTCCAGACTTTTCCCACTGACCTTCCACGTTGTCTTTGGCATTCGGGGGTTGAGAAGTCTGGAAACCACCACAGCTGCCCATGATTCAGTCTTCTGAGGCCTGCTCTAGGGTCACTGTAGTCTGTGTGCCCACGCCGCACTGTGCTCCTCTCCCTGCCCAGTGTGATATACCTTTCCCATCAGCCATCCAAGCTGTCTTTGGCTGGGAATTTGTTTCACTCTGTCTTTTTGTGGGTTCTGCTGCTTTAGAATTTGTTTAGAGCCATTTTTTATAGGTATTTGGAAGGCTTTGGGAGAGAGCTCAAGACAGTCACTGCTTTCCCTCCACCATCTTGGCTCCACCTCAAGAGTTTCATTCTGAAAGGCTCTGGGCATCAGGGAATTCTATTCCCTATATGTTAGTAGGCTCCTCTTCCCAAAGGCAACCTCTGAGTGTGTGAGAACTGCCCACTCACCAGCAGTCAGCAGTGTGGAAAAGCTAGTGGTTGAAAAGCTAGCTGAATGAGATCTTGGACTGCATATAGAGAGGTCTACCTGCTAGGATTAGGAAGGAGACACGCTCACTGTCCTCTGCCCATGTCTGACCTCATTTGGAGGACTGTGTTCAGTTGTAGGTACCACATTTTAAGAGGGATATTGATAAGCTAGGGGGTCCAGAGGAAGGCAACCAAGATGGAGAAAAGTCTCGAGTCCATGCAATAGGAGGATTAGTTGAAGGAAATGGTCATGTTTAGCCTGGTAGAAGAGAAGACTTGGCGATACATAGGAGCTGCCTTCAAGCATCTGAAGGGCTGTCATGGAGAAGAGGGACCAGGTTTGTTATTTTTGGTGCCAGGGGACAGAACCAAGTGCAAGGTATGTAAGGTGTGAAGAGACAGCTTTAGGCTTGGCGAAAGGAAAGAAATGTTCAAACACTCAGAGCTGCTCCAATGTGGAATGGGCTGCCTTGAGAACTGGGATATTCCTCATCGTTGGAGGTGGAAAGCAGAGGCTGGACAAGCACTGGGCAGGCTGTTGTAGTAGAGGTTGGGCTAGATTAGATAGGGTCTAAGGCCCCTTCCCACTGTGAGAATCTGTGACTCTACCCCTCCCCCCCCACCTCTAACCCCCACCCCCCACTACAAGGTGATTCTCCGTATTGTACATAGAGCTAGGCAGTAACAATTCTGTTTTCAGATCTCCTCAGGGCCCCCTAAGACATTACCATGTTGGTGAGATGAGATCTGGCAAAACATCAGGAAGTGGCCAGTATCCATAGGCAATGTCTGGGCGGTGAGAAAGGTGGCAGGAGAGATCTCCAGAGAGGTAAGGCGGTGATTTCTAATGAGGAATGTATGGCTTTCCAGAAAAATCGAGTGGACTTCGGGAGCAGTGCCCATCCCAATCACATGCCAATGGACCAACTTCCTGTGACACACTAGCAGATCTGCAAAGGATCATATAATCAATCAACAAGCATTTTGGAAACCCATCCTCTGTGTAGGCAATGGGGCTCCAAAGCCAAAGGTGAAATGTCTTTAACCTCAAAGACCTTACATTTGAATAGGGGAGATGACATGCACATGTGTCAGCATATTAGAAGACATATACAAAGTGGACTCCTCCTCCTCTAGCCCTCCCCTTCCTTACCCTTTACCCTTCCCCTCCCCTTTCCTTCCTTTACCCCCTTCCCTCCTCCTCCTTCTTCCCCTTCCCCCTCTTCTTCCCTTCCTCTCCCTTCCCTCTCCCCTCCCCTCCCACTCTCTTTTCTTCCTTAGTCTCTTCCCTTCTCCTCTCCCTCCCCCTCCTCCTCCCTTCCTTTCATCATCCATCCCATACCAACTTGGTCCAGGCCAGGGCTCTTGGCCCAAGTTTGCTTCCAAGCCAGACCTGCACAACTTGGCAGTAGGTAGGGGCCAAAATTAAAATAGGCTAAACTTCTTTGGGCTGCAGATAGGTTGTTGTTATTTTTATTTTATTTTATTTTATTTTATTTTGCTGAGGCATTCAGGGTTAAGTGACTTGCCCAGGGTCACACAGCTAGTAAGTGTCAAGTGTCTGAGGCCAGATTTGAACTCATATCCTCCTGACTCCAAGGCCGGGGCTCTATCCACTATGCCACCTAGTTGCCTCTGCAGATAGGTTTTTAGTGGCTCACTTTCCAAGTAAAGTTATAATTAATGATTAAACTATTTTGCAAATAAATCATATTTTTTAAAAAGGGAAATTTCAATTAATATCAATTAGTTACACTTATTACTTGAGATTTTTATTTATCATGAAATAGCTCCTCTCAGACTAGAGACAGACTGACGATGGTTGGTTGCCATGGGTCACGTGACAAACAGGAGAGAGTATGCAGTGGCAACTTACCTGCTAAGTTACATGATGGGCACAAGAGTGACTAGTGGAAGGTGGATTAAGTCGGGCACAGACAAAGCACCTGTTACATATTTACTTTCTTTTACATCCTCTACATTTTTCATGGTCTGCCCAAAATCCTTTGGTGGGCCACAAGTAGCCTTCGGGCCATATATTGTGCAGGCCTATTCTAAGCCAAGGTCAGATACCATTATAGTAGGAAGCTATACTGAATCTTTGTTGAGGATCCAAAGCTATGTGAGGTGCTCATAAAGAAGCCTAGACATGGTTTCCACCTTCAGAAACTCACTATCTAGGGAGGTGTATTCAAATCTTCTGATCCTCCTGACTTCCCCCCCACCCCCACCCCCTCCACCACTAGTCAGTATAGTAAGTTTATTTGCAGCCAGTATAAATGGGGGCAGTAACAGGGAGTAAGATTGCAAAGGGGAACATGGAGGTCACATACAAACTGTCCCAATGATCAAAGGAGCATAATTTACAATTTCCATCATATATTAACCAGAAATCACCTCCTGGTAGTATGTACTGAATCAGGGGCCACCATCTAGGCGCTGCTGTCAGGGTCTATGATATGTAAACCTCAGGCAAATTTCAGACATCCAGAGGAAAAACAGCAGATCACCAAATGGTGCTGATCATTTTAAGATGATGTGGACATGTTCACTTTAAAGTTTTACTGGCAACTTTAAAATGATTTGGCTATATTAATCAATTAACCCCAAGGTGGCACAGGTAAGAGTTAGTCTGTTTCCAAAAAAAAAACAAAAAAAAACAACAACCTATAAAAAGGAGATCTCAAGCTCCTGTCCTCCAATCCTCTTCCCCCTCCATTGGGTCTACATGGCCAAGCACTCCCAACTCAAATCCATGGTTAGGTGACTGGTATTTTCTGCCTCTCCCCCTCCCCATTCTCTTCCCCATGAAGACTGCCTGCCTTCCCCATCCTATCCCATGTCCCCATGCCCTCTGCTTCTGGCTCCCCTTTCTGCCTCTGTGCCTAATTAAAGAGTGGCTGCCACCTGTTTCCCTCTACCAGTTGTGGTCTTTTCCGGTGAGTATTGAAAGGTCCAGGCATGTCTGCCCCCATTCCAAAACTTCATAAATTATCAATTCAGGAGGTAAGACATCCCCCCTACAAAGAGAACCATGGGGTAGGGCCATAAAAGGTATGTGTCAAAAAAAAATATGTGTCACAGGTGGTCACAGGAGTGCTCCATGATTGAGACTGGACTACATTCAGCTTTAGCATCTCTATCCTTTCACTTTTCTTTGATTTACTACCCTCCCTTCTTCCCTCATGACCTTCCTTCCTTCCTCCTTCCCTCATTTCTCCCCTTCTTCCTCCTTCCTTCCTTCCTTCCTATCATGGATTAAGCATTTACTATAAATACTGACTGAGCTCTGTGCTAAGTAGGGAAGCCCAAGTTGCAGCAAATTTGGCCTCACTCCCTCTTGGTTTCACTCTCCCAAGCCACAGAAAGGAAACCTCCCTTCCCTGCCCATCCCCACCTCCCAAAGCATTGTCCTTCGCCACCATGGGACCAGTAGTTGAAGCTCCAGAGTTCCTGGCAATTTGGGGTAACCCAGGGGATGAGTAAGAAAGTTGAGTGCCAATGTAAGCAGGTTCCAGGCAGACTCAGGACCTCAGTGGCAGGAGGAGAGTTCAGGCCAGCTGGAGTTTGGGCAGTAGCTCAGGGACATTCTCCAAGACCCCAAGGAGCCAATATTAGGAGTGCAGTGAGCCAGGAAGGTAGCAGGCACTTGAAGCCACAGGCTTAGCTTGCCACAGAGCAAGAGGGAGAGCTGGAGGGGGCCAGAGAACTCCTCTCCTGGGCTCCCATCCTCAGTAGAGAGGTTTTACCATCCCAGAGCTGGGCAAAGGCTACTCCTGGCCCTGGGTAGGTCAGACCAGGGAGCTAGAATCATCACCACTCACATTTCTCTAGGGCCTTGAGGGTTCACAGAACACCTTACATAGGCTCACTTGAGCCTCACCACAACCTTGCAAAGCCAGGACTATTCTGGTTTGTTGTTGTTCAGTTGTGTCTGACTCTTCATGATCCTGTGGGTCATATCACGCCAATACTGTCTATAGCGTTTTCTTGGCAAAGATACTAGATTTGTTTGCCTTTTCCTTCTCCAGTGGATTAAGACAAATAGGGTTAAGTGACTTGCCCAGGGTCACACAGCTAGTAAGTGTCTGAGGCCGCATTTGAACTCAGGTCTTCCTGACTCCAAAGCTAGTGCTCTATCCATTGAGCCACCTAGCTGCCTCTTATATAATATATAATAATATAACATCTAGGGTTATTACTGTCCCATTTTACAGATGAAGAAATTAAGGGTCAGATAGTTTAAGTGTCTTGGTCAAGTACGTATCTGAGGTGAGCTCTGACTCCGTGGCTAGGCCTCTCTCCATTGGGCAGTGGCCAAGTGTAGGGAAACTGGCTCCATTTTGTAGGGTTGCCTTTTCCTGAGTAGGATGACAATGCCATTTGTGAGACACCTGCCAAGGCACAAAGCACACTCATGTGTGTTAGGGCCTTTGCTTCGAAGTTTGCCAGAAGATCCCCAATGTCTAAGTCTGGCAGCAGAGATTGAGAGAAGGGAAGGGCCTGCCCAGCCCAAGACCACCTAGTGGGTAAGTGAGCAGGAGAGAGCTTAGTATTCCCATGTAAAAGCTGATGTACCTGAAGCTCAGGGAGCTTGCTGGACTTCCTGTGGTCAGTTAGTAGCAGAGCTGAGACTAAAACTCTGAGAAATCCAAGTGTTAAAGGTGAAGAAGTCATCTGGTATGACACCTTCATTGGCTGGAGACTGTAACAGGGGCCCAGAGATGTCCAGAGACTTGCCTGGTGTCACCAAGCTGGGACTAGCAGATCTGGAACTAGAAGGCAGACTTTCCGCTTCCTGGCCCCGGGCACTCTTACTACACACAAAGTCTCTTCACCTAGGGAGCTTTCTACTGGGCAACCCTAAATGCAAATCCCTGACTTGAAGATGCTGCAAAGGCTTCCCTCAGGCTTCCCTTGCTGCTTTCTGGCTGCCTCTCAGCAGAGCTGCACTTCACCTGGTCTCTCTCCTCTTTGGCCTTCACCAAATCTCCCCTAGCCTTTCAAAAAACCCACTGCATTTGCCCCCATTCCATCCTCCAAGCTCTCCTCCTTTTCTCAGCCAACGTCCCCCTAAAAAGCTGTCTCTGCTCACTTACTCCTCAACCCTTTACCACTCACCTGAAACTGAGCTTCAAGGTGACCACCAATTTCTTGGCCTTTTCTTGGTCCTCATCTTCCTTAATTCTCTGTAGCCTATGACCATTCTGAAGTCCCAGATACTCCCTCCTCCCTCAGATTCACTGGTCCTCCTCCTCACTCTCTAATTCAGTCTCCTTTCCTGCACCCGGCATCCATGTCCTTCTCCCTAACAAGGATACACCTTGTCTCTTGGTGATTTCATTAGAAACATGGGTTTAATTAGGTCAATGCCAATAATGCTCAGGACTCTCTCTCTCTCTCTCTCTCTCTTCTCCTCCTCCTCCTCCTCCTCCTCCTCCTCTCTCTTCCTCTCCTGTTCTCTCTTCCTCCCTCCCTCTCTTGTTCTTCTCCTCTCCTCTCCTCTTCTCCCTCTCCTCTCCTCTTCTCCCTCTCCTCTCCTCCCCTCCCCTCTCCTCTCCTCTCCTCTTCTCCCTCTCCTCCCCTCTCCTCTCCTCTCCTCCCCTCTCCTCTCCTCTCTCTCTCCCCCTCCCTTCCTTGGTACATTTGCTGGTCTTTCTCCTGAGCTCAATCAAGCCCCATGTCTCCAACAGCATGTCCCATAGACATTTGTAAAATGGGAAGTTTGGACTAGAAGACCTCCAAAGTCCCTTCTAGATCTAAATCTCGGTTCTTCTGATCTCAAACTCAACCTACCCTAAATGGCATTCGTTCTCTTTCCCCCCTAAACCTTGCAAACTCCTTACCTATTTCTGGCAGCACTTTTTTTTTAAAGGCAATTGGGGTTAAGTGACTTGCCCAGGGTCACACAGCTAGTGAGTGTCAAGTGTTTTTTGATCTGAGGCCGGATTTGAACTCAGGTCCTCCTGACTTCAGGGCCGGTGCTCTATCCACTGCGGCCCCTAGCTGCCCCTCCTTCCCTATTTCTGTGGAGGGCAGCAGCATCCTCTCAGCCACTGGAGTTCCCAACCTCGGACATCCTCCTAAAGTCTTCTCTCTCCCTCCTCTCCTCCCCCTTATCCAATTGGTTGCCAAGTCTGGTAGTTTCTATCTCCACTGCATTTCTCACATCCAACCCCTTCTCTTGGGTCCCATAGCCACTGCCCCAGCCCAAGTCCTCCTCACCTATTGCCTGGACCACTCCAATAGCCTCCTAATTGGTCTCCCTGCCTTTTGCCTCTCCCTTCTTTAAGGCAGCAGCCTCCATCCAGATCTCCCTGAAGCACTGTCACTTCCCTGCTCAAGTGACTCAGCATTCACAATCTGGCTTTAGCCTGGCTCACCAGCCATCTCTCCCTTTACACGGTTTACATGCCAGTCAGGCTGGTCCTCAAATTCAGCAGCCTATCTCCCATGTCTGTCCTTTGCACTGGCTAGTGCAAACATGCCTAGGACACACACTCTTACAGGCTGGAGCTCTTTTCAAGAATCCATTCCTATCTATCCAGCTCCAGAGAAATAACTGATGGACTCAGAATGCAGATGGAAGCAGACTTTTTTTACTTTATGATTTGAGGGATTTTGATCTGTGTTTTCTTTTACAACATGGCTAATATGGAAATGTTTTGCATGACTGCACATGTAGAATCTATATCAAATTGCTTGCCTTCTTAAGGAGGGGCAAGGGAAGGAAGTAAGAGAGAGAATTTGGAACTCAAAACTTTAAAAAAATGAATGTTAAAGATTTTTGTTTACATGTAATTGAGAAAAATAAAATTAAATAAAAATTAAATGTTAAACAAAGAATCAATTCATGTGCCAGCTGCCTCTTACAGAAAGCCTTCTTTGATTCTCCATGTCTGCTAGTGCCCTCTTTCTCCTCTATGTTTTTATACTTCTCTGGTTACATTTGCACCCACTACCAGAACATAAGTTCCTGAAGGGCCAGCACTGGTTTTGTTTTATCTTTATCTCCCCAGGGCTGAGCAACAAATTACAACTTAGAACAAGTGTTCATTGGCTTGGACTGCAATGACCTCTGAGGGCTCATGGGAAGGTTCTTACCTACCTGGCAAAGACCCATTCACATAGCCATTGATGGTGTGAACTTTAGAGTACAATTTTTTGGACTGGTACACCTGAGCCTGTGTCTTGGGCCCATCTGGTTCTGAATGCCAACTTTTCCCTGAGGATAGAAAAGGTAAAAAAGAAGATGCTAAGTAGTTTTCCTTGGCCCCTTCTCCCAGAACCATCTTTCCTTTCACCAATACCAAACCTCGGGGACATAATTCAAAAGTAATGCAGAAAAGGAAAACTTTTCATTCCAAATCAGAGGGAACAAACCCTAGTCCAACCCCCAGCCTAGGGTGGAGTCTTTGAAGGATCTCTTGGGACATCAACCAGCAGATAGGCTCCCCATTCCTGCAGCCCTCCAGGAGTTAGAAGGGACCTCAAGGGGGAGGCCATCCAATACAGTCGGCTGTCCCCGAACAAGAATCCTCTCTGTGACACACACGAAAGTGGATATCCAGCATTGATTTAAAGTTCTCCAATGAGGGCAAACCCTCCACCTCCCAAAGCAGTTCAGGAGTGGAAGCTCCAAGGAGTCAGATTTCAGGTCACATTTCGAACAATTACAGCTGAACTAAAGTGGGATGGACTGCCTTGTGAAGTAGTGAGCTTCCTGTCATTAGAAATATTCAAGCGTAAGGTAGACAAGCACCTGTCAGGGATGTTGTAGAGGGCATTTGTGTTCAGGTATGAGTGGACCAAATCCCCTCTGAAGACCTTTTCAGCTCTGAGTCTATGGTTCTCTAGAAAGTAATAGGGAGGGGCAGTTAGGTGGCGCAGTGGATAGAGCACTGGCCCTGGATTCAGGAGGACCTGAGTTCAAATATGACCTCAGACACATAACACTTAATAGCTGTGTGACCTGGGCAAGTCACTTAACCCCCATTGCCCAACAACCAAAAAAAAGTGATAGGGAGTCAGTAAGACATGAATAAAAGGATAGCAGAGCAAAAGGAAAAACACCCCTGGCTCCACTTGGGGCAGCCTGACATCTTTCTCCACCAAAGCAATCCATCTGATGACCAGCAGCTCTGGGTGCATTCAAAGAGTCCCTTCTAAGTTTATCGGTTTGAAACCTACAAGGCATTGGACTCTGGCCACATGGAGGTGCTGTCTCCAGACTGGCCCAACCACAGCCTGAAGAAGCCCAGATAACACACCCAACCTTCAATGGGTCTGAGTCATCATGGATGGGCCAGGCTGTGCCGGCTATGCTTAAACACCATTTCTTATATTATCTCTCTGAGAAAAACAAACCCATTTTGACCTCCATCAGGATATTTCCAGCACCATAAGCCCTGGTCTGGCAACAGGAGCCTCTAGTGGGAGGGGTGGTATCAGGTGTTTGTGAGCACTCTACACCTGCATGAGCGAAGGCATGGGGTGGGACATGGAGGGGTAACGATGGAAAATAATGTAGGGAGATGAAGGTGATGGGAAAACAAAAGGCAGGAGAACAAAATGAAATAAGGAGAACCTCCATAGGATAGGATCAGGAAGCCTACACCAGAGAAGGAAAACAGTCTTTGGAGTGGGTACATTCACCTTGAACTTGGGACCTGGGGTCATGGGTATTGATGATACTGAAGGTGGAAATAGCATGTTTGGTACCTGGATCGTTCTGCTGGAGGAGGAGGCTGGGATATGTGACTCCATTGCAGTTGGGAACTCTCAGCAAGGAAACTCCCTCTATCAATGAGGATGGGCTGCTGCTGGAGATTTTCCCCCTCAATTCCTCTCTACCCCTAATAAGCACCTTCTTAAGTCCCTCAGAACCACTTCTTGCCTTTTTAACAATTTAATGACCCCACCGGATTTGAATTGTGTAGGGTGTTTGTACTTTGGCCATGGCCCAAATTTATTATCTGGAGGCTGCCCTCTCTTCTGAAACAGGAGACCCAAGTGACTCAAAGAATGCCTCTCCATGCTCCAGGCTTTGGGGGAACAATGAAGTATCCTAAAGTAAATGGAAGTGGGGCTTTAATGGGGATCTGAGTTGGGGAAGAGGAAACTTGATTCTTGTCAGGAGGCTGGAAAGCAGAAAAATGTTTTCCAGGGGAGAAAGGGGAAGAACAAAAAGAGCTGGACACTTGGAACTCAAAAACAGATGGGAGGCTCTTGCTAAAGAAGATGAAGCTGCTGGTGCTCCAAGGCCTGGATGAAGCCATTGGGTGAGAGCTCATTTAGAGGTGAGGAAGAAGCAAGGTGTGATGGAGGGTGGTCAGGGGTCAGTGATTCCCAAGGGAGCAGAAGGAGCTATTTATCAATCTGATAGGGATAACGAGAGGGGCTTGTTGTCTTTCTGGGACATGTTAACTAAGAGCCAACAAGAAAAATCACATGTCTGCTCCCCATTTGGGGTGATTCAAATGGGCACTGCCAAGAGGAGCCTAAGAGATACTCCAAAAGCCTTCCACTGAAGACCTAGGGGGTCACAAGTTTCTCTTTTTACACTGTCCAAGGCAAGGGCTACTGAAGAGAAAAAATGTATTTGAGAAGTGAACAGCTGGCTAAGGAGGTGATGATGTCTGAGAAAGGGATTTGGACCTCTGGACCCCAGCCTAAAATATATGGACAACAGATTCCCACCTGATATAGCTTTTTTAAAAAAAAGTTTCCAGTTGTTCAAAAATCGAATGGCCCATCCTGAGAGAGAATCCCCAGCACAACACTGGGGCTGTTCCAGTAGACAATGGATGCCCACTGGTCAGGGATGTTGTAGAGAGGATTTTTGGTGAGGCCAGGGTTGGGCTTGATAGCTCTAAGGAGCCTGACAGCTCAGGGATCCTGGGATCTGGATCTCTTCTGCCTCAGAATGATGGAGTCCAATGCCTCCAGCCCTGGAGGCTTTCTTGATGCCACTCCCTACTGGATTCTCTGCCCCAGTAGGTACTTTGGGGTTTTCCAATGGCAAGTCTTGAACAATATTCTCAGGTAGAGCAAGCTCTCAACAGTTGCCAAAGGGCTATCTGCTCACCTTCATCAAAAACAGCAAAGAGTAGCACAAACTCTTGCAAGTGCTGTGTCCCACCTCTGTCCAGAGTCCCTAAAAGAGAGGAGAAGGGAGCTTAAATGGGGCAAAGAAAACTGTCCCACCAAAGGACAGCATAGCTAGGAAACCTTCTGCTGCTCTCTAGTCTTATGGAGAAGGTGGGGGGGACTGAAGTACTTACATTGAAGACAATCATTCATTTCTTGCTACTTTACACATAACCCAGACATGACAACTTGGCTGAAAATAAAGGGTGCCATAGGCAGGCCAAGCCATGGATGTTTCTGGCTCTTGGCAAGCACTGGGCCCAAGAAGGCAGCCATAGCCCAAACATAGGCATGGAATCATGGGCAGCACCGGGGGCAATGGAGTACATTCTCCAATAAGGGATTTGCAAAGGATGAGGAGGGAAAGGAAAGAGGCCTCTTTCTCTTGCTTGAGGTCTCAGTCTGCTCCTGCTCATTCTTATAGGAACAAACCCAGGAAATAGGAATTCAGAGCATCTGAGGTCAGACTGTGGCTCTGCCATTGAGGCTCTGGGTGTCCCTGGGCAAGTTGCTTAACCTCTCTGGGCTTCAGTGTCTGGACTAGATACCCCTTAAAGTCCCTTGAGATGTATGGTCCCTTCAGCAAATGTATCTTCTAGGATCTTCCTGGGTTACCTTTCCCTGCCCATTACCCCTCTGTACTATCTGCCCTATCATTCTTCCCACTTACCTTCTTTACAGACCAGCAGAGCCCCAATCAAGCCTGTGTTCAGGTCCTTCACAGTGTCAACGTGGGAGAGATAGGAGTAGGTGAGACATGGTGGGTCATGGTCCATGGGGCTGTTCTCTTTCAGGACACGCCAGACATACGTGTAGCTGGTACCTGGGGCTACTTTATCATCTTGCTTCTCCATGTAAGTGGTCTGGTCATTGTACCTGGCCCCTAAAGTCAGAAGAAGGGGAATGGTCAGATTTAGGTCAAGCAGAATCCAAATTCTCCGATCATTGCCAAGCACAGTGAGTAAATAACAATGAATGACATACTCAGTAATGTAGAGAAACTTTGTAAGCTGACAATGATGAGTTAGAACCCAGTCCTGGTTGTGAAAACACCACCATGAGGGTTCAGACCAGACTAAGTGGGGATTGAGGTCTTGTGTTTGACTTACCATGTCTAACCTTCCTTTCCTGGCTATGAGTTAGTCTTTTTCTACCATCTACTGACTCCAGGGCAAATGAAGCTCGGCACCCCTGCAGATCAGCCCATTAGGCCTCCCACATCTGCATCCCATGCCCATCCCCAGGGGAATTCCTGATCCTGCATCACAGCTCCATCTCTCCTCTCTCCCCTTCACCTCATTCCTTTCTCTCTCTCCTTTGCTGCCACAGATCAATCCTTCTTTCCTCCCTCTGCTACACATCATCCCCTTCTCTCTTCCCTTTCTTAAACTGGAACCATTTCTCAATTCCCTCTTTCACATCTCATCCCCTTATGTCCTCAAGCTGCTGCTTATCACCCACTTCAACTGTCCGTCTCCTGCAATTCAAACCTTTCCCTCCTCCATCACCTGCAGCTCTGGCTCTTGCCTTCTTCCTCTCCCATAGATCAGCCCCTTCCTTCCTCCATCTCCTGCACCTCAACCCTCCCCCCACTATGTTTCAGCTAGTTCACTTTGTCCTTTTCCAAACCCTGGCTAACCTCCTCTCTTTCCTCTCCTCCAGTCCATCCTTTCATGGCGTCTGACTCTCCTATCACCTCTTCTCCTCCCTCTCTTGCCACTCAGCCCTTTCTCTCCTCCTCACATACACCTGAGCCTTTTCTCCCTCTCTTTTCTCCCAGCCCTCCTTTAGTTCAAGCCCCTCATCTCCTCCCTTCTCTCCTCTCTCTTTGCTGCTCAGCCCCTTCTCTCCTCTCCCTCCTGCATGCAGCCCCTTCTTTTCACCTTCTGTTCCATCCTGGGCTGTCCTACGAACAAGCCCCTCCATCTCTCAGCTCCAGGCATTCTCTCTGGCTATCTCCCACAGCTAGAACACTCTCCTTCCTCCATTCTGTCTGCCAGCCTCCCTGGTTTCCTTGAAGTCCAAACTAATATCCCCCCCTTTTTTTTTTTACTGGAAACCTCTTCTTTTCTGTCCTCCCTTTCCTGCGGCCTGGCCCCTTCTCTCCTCTCCTCATATCTTCTTTCCGGTACACTGCAGGGCCTAATGATCTTTGCCATCCTTCCTTTATTCTCACACCTCTAGACATATCTGATTCTTTTTATTCATTTATTTAACTGTGCCCTGTTTCCCTGATAGGAAAAACAATTACAAGTTCTTCCCCTCAAGGACTTAGCATTCTGCTTAGAGGGCATGGTGGGAGAATAGAACTTCACATCCACTGAGAAGTATAATATTAAAAGGAGGGGATAATTGGAGCAAAGTCTTAAGACATTCTTTGAGTCAGGAAGATCTGAGTTCAAATCCTGTGTCAAGTCACTTAACCTCTGCTTGCCTCAGTTTCCTCCTCTGCAAAATGAGGATGATAATAATAGCACCTATGTGGTTGTTGTGTGGATCTAGTGTGGATCAAATTAGTTAATATATGTAAAGCATTTTGTAAACCTTCACACTGTATTTCAACGCTAGATGATAAGCTAGCTAGTGGACAAATGGTTCTAGGAAATCTGAATCAGGAGCGAGTCCTTTCACCCTCACTCTGCCACCTCCTTGCTCTGTGGCTTTGCAGAAGTCACTTTCCCTCCCAGGGCTCCAGTTTCCACATAGGTAAAGCAAGGAGTTGGCCCTCGATGGCTTCTCCAGTTCCTTCCAGCTGTAGAGCTATGATACAATGGTCAGGGAAGGCTTCATCAAGGAGGTAGTTGAACATTATACACTAAAACCTTGAAGCAGTAGAGATGAGGAGTGAAGGGAGCCTCAGACCTGGAGAAGGGGGGCAGAGGGTACAAGGAAGGGTGAGGAGGCTGGTTTGGAGAAATGCACAGGAGGGAGAAATGAAATGTCTAGTTAAGAGAACCACTAGTTATCCAATTGGACTGGAACATGGAGCACATGAGATGAGCAATGTGAAATAAGTCTGAAATGCCAAGCTAAAAAGTCTGTCTTTAGAGGTAATAGAGAGCAGCCAAAGGTCCTTGAACGGGGGGGTCACATCATTAAACCCGAGCCTTAGATGATTTCGGCAGCTGTGTGGACTATGGATTAAAGGAGGGAAAGAATGGAAGGAAACTAATGCAATCATCCAAGAGAGGCCTAAATTAAGATGAGGACCTAGGAATGGAGAGGATGAGGATAAATACCAGGAATATTATAAAGGTAGAATCAACAAAACTATAGCAACGGATTGGATATGTAAGGTGGTGGAGGAAGGAAAGTGAGGTGGTCAGGATGACTCTAAGATTGCAAACTTGGGTGACTGGAAAAATAGGGTTGCCCTCATCAGAAATCAATAAGCTAATTAGTGAAAAGCAGGTTCAGGGTGGTGTGAGGACAACAATGTCTACTTTGGATGTGCTGATTTTGAGATACTTATGGAATATCCAAGTGGATATGCGGAAATGAAAGCACAATTTGAAGTTAGATTTTCAGAGGGGTCTAGATCTGGAGTTAGGAGAGACCTCTCAGAGGCCCTCTAGCCCAATGCTTTTATCTCAAAGAGAAGGAAACTGAGGCCCAGGTTGGGAAGTAACTTGCCCAAGGTCACCCAGGGAGTAAGCATCAGGAGTGTGATCTCTATCTGTATTCAGCAGTAACAGTATCACATGAACTTCACAAATATACCTGAAGTGAACTCCACTGAAGACCCTACCTGTGGCACCCTTGGAAGCCCCTAACAGTTCTATAAGGCACACTTCTCAACCCACTTTGGGGATGCCATCTATTCTGGGAGAGCCAGCATCTCTAAGCACTACTCACATGGATGCCACCACAGGTATCAGGTATGGCAGAGGATAAAGACAAATACTCCACTATCAATCAGTAGCCCCCTAATGTCTTCCCCACCCCACCTAGTCAGAGCCCACAGCTGCCAGCATCAAGAAGCCTGCCTGCCTCACTTACCCTCTGAGGCCTTCCAGTAGGATATCCCAACAGCATGGAGGCTGACTGGATGGGAAGCCATGTTCTTCAGTGTAATAACCACTGTGTCATAGACTTCTGCCCGAATGGTGGGACCCAGGAGACCTGAAAGAGGGAGATACTGATTCCCACCCCACCCCTCATGGAGTTTTATAAAAAAGTGGGTGCCTAAAAAAGGGGATTCTAAAGACCAGGTGAAAAAGACATTTTCCAAAGAAAGCTCTGAAATGAAGGCCAAATGCACAGGAACCAGAGCTGCTAGGCCTCCACATGTTAGAAGACTAGCCCGGCATGTCAACTGGTTGTGCTACGAGCTTTGTCTCAGGCTTGAGATGGTGAATGCAATGAGAATTTTTGATTTTTGATTTTCTTTTATTCTTCCAGCAACTGTTGGTTAATATTAGCCTCACTTGACCAAAACCTGTCCCATGAGATGTGAAAATTTACTTAGAGCCTTAAATGTTCCTTAGCTAAGAAGCCAGGGGAAGGATCTCCACTGTCCTTGACTCCTTGGTGACATGTAAATCCTCCTCCTCAATTTGTTCAACTTTTGTGACATTGAAGGAAGTGTGGGATTATGGATCTATGTTCTGTTTAACTTTTGTGGCCTAAGAGGAATGTACAAAATTACAATATATAAAAGAATTATTTCTCTGTCCCTCTGACATAATTTTGCCTCTAAGAAGGCTTGTCAGAATCCTCATGGGGTTCAGTTTTTCTCTGAAGTCTGAACCTACACTTGAGTATAATAACAAAACCTGGGTTTACCTTTGTAATTTCGGCACTGTGGCAAGTTACTTACCACTTGAGCTTAGAAAGGTGCTATTTCTGCCACAATATGGGCACCTGCCCAGGAAGGCTGCTGAACCTTTCCTGGGACTCCCTTCAGAACTAAAGGTGGGCCCTGATGCCAAAGCAGAGATCAAACAGGAGTTGCTCGATCAATTGCTTTGTCTCCTTTGTATCATTTGTGTCATGATACAAAACAATTTCACCCAACCGGTTTTATTTGACCACTGATTTTGTCGCCCCTGGAAAGAGACAAAGGTCTCAGAAGGAAAGCTCCCCATGTGCAGCCCACAGGGTTACATCTCCATGTGTCTTAGCCAGTGTCTCTGGTAGAAGACAAGCTATACATTCATGAATTAGGTTGGGTTCTCTCTAGGTTAATTATCTGTTGGCCCCTCCTCCCCAAGGCTACTGGCCTTGATCAAAGGTGTTAAGCCATTCAGCCACACACATACCTGGGCATGAATGCAGAGTCTGCCCAAGTACACCCTAGACCTGTGGCCTGGCTGTCTACAGTATAACACAGGCAAGGTTGAAATGTTTCCTTTTGCCCTGCTTCTCTACACACATATCCTTTAGAGTTTTGGGAAACCATCACATAAAGGAGTAGGGCAAACCCTATGCATCCATTCCCAGTTAATTCCTTTAGCCACTCCCAGAAGGGCCCCTAGGAAGAAACAACATGGAACAAACACAAGGTCACTTGGGCCAATTCCAGTCTCATTAGGGAGTCTAAGCACACTAAAAAAAAAATGTGCCTGGGATTGAACTCAAGTGAACAAATGTTTATTAAATTCCTACTGTGTGCAAGGCAGACCTTGTGCTCAAGGCCCTGGGGCTCCACAGGCAAAGCAGCTATTGTAATCTCAGGCTGGCACCTACCCAACACAAGGGAGATAAGATGGCAAACGCTCTTTATTTTGTGCTGCTTTGACCACCTCTGGGATACCGAGTCCAGTTCTGGAAGCTGTCATTTAAATGGGACCACTGAAAAGATGGCAATTCATCCAGAGGAGGGCCACCTGACTGGTGAATGATCTAAAAACTATATCATGCAAAAGATTGGTTGCAACATATGGAGCCTTTGGGAGGTAGCAATCTCTCAAAGCCACCTCTAGGTTCAGGATGAATTCAAAGACCTTTAGGACCTTAGGAAGTTAAAGGAGACCACATTCTGGCTAGGACTAGAAATGGGCATACAATTGGCTAGGAAGGATACTAGACCAAGAAAAGGTTGGCCTCCAGCCCTGCTGCTAACGCACTGGCTCTTGGATTCGGGACTCTAGGTGGTCATTTATTTCACTTGTCACTGTCTCAGCCAACTCTCTAAAACTTGAATTTGCAGAGAAGGTGCTGAGCCACCCTGATAGAGTTAGGTCCCTCATCTGAGAGTTTATTTCCTTGACCAAAAAAAGTCACAGGTGAAGTTCCTGTCCTATCCACCTGTTCCCCTCTAAGGCTTGCTCATGGCAAACTCTGGCAGGTCCTAGTGATTATGGCACATATTGGAAAGAGTTCTGGATTTAGTCAAAGACTTTGTACTCAGCTCTGCTACTTGCTCTCCATGTGTCCTTAAGCAAATCCTTTCCCTTCTCTGGGCCTGTTATCTCATCTGTAAAATAAGGGGCTAGACTAGCCACTATCTAAGTTTCCATGGAGCCTGTGGATAGGCTTGGCATCCTGGCCCAGCCATAGAGTGTGTCTGCTTTCCAAGGACCAATCTAGCTAAGCTGAAAGAGGCTTATCAACTTGATCAAGCGATCAAGTTTTTAGCCACATCAGCTCATGATAGCTGTCTATTAAGGCAGGGAAAGGGTTGAGCTCTATAGCAGTGAAGAGATGAAGGGAGCAGCCATACAAGTCGAAGTCCCAGATCTCTGAAAGAACTGAAACACTGAAGTATTCTTATCAATACCCATCCATGGTGCTCTGGGCTTGGCTTGGAGAAAGCGGCTATCTGTGTATTCTGCAAACACAGCCTTTTTATACAGAGTGGAGCCATTAGATGCAAATGACTTGGGGACTCTTGGAGGAAATCTGTACAAAAAAAGAAAAAGGTAGATTCAGTTTTGGAGGGCATTTCCTTCGTACCCCCAAACCACTAAAATTTTATGAGCCCACCAACTTCCTGGAAGCATCTCATAGCATAAGAAAAATAACTCTACATAAGCATGCTTTCTTTTCCTGAGAGGAATTCATAGAATAAGAGTTTAGCAGCAGCATTTGGGGGTGGGGAAGAGGAAGGGAAGCAAATACATATTTACAAAGTGCCAGGCATTGTGCTAAGAGCTTTACAAATATGATCTCATTTCATCTTCACAACAACCCTGCGGGGTAGATGCTATTATTATCTCTATTATACAATTGAGGAAACTGAGGCAGATAAAGGTTCAATGACTTGCCCAGGGTTACACAGCTAATGTCTACAGCCAGATTTGAACTCAGGTCTTCCTGACTCCAGACCCCATATTCTATCCACTGCACTACCTAGCTGCCTCTGAGTAAAAACATACTCAGAATCAAACTTGCTCATGAAGAAATGACTTCTCTATCAGCCTGTGAACCCTCTGATCTACAATCAGAGGTTCCCAAACTTATTTGGCCAACCACTCCCTTTCCAAAAAAAATTACTCAGCACCCCCCTGCGGTTAGATTAGGTTAACCCTTATTTTTATTCAATGCCCCCCAATTGCACCCAAGGCTACTACCACCCCCCTGAATGGTTCCCCCCAGGGGATGGTATCACCCACCTATGGACTCTACATGATCCCCAAAGTGAAAAGTTTCCCTTCTCTATAGTAATGCTCCAGCTAATGCTCCATTCCATAGACAATAAGGAGCCAATAGATAGGGCAGGGCTTCTTCCTCATGTTTTCTGCGTTGTAGAACCCCTCCCCCTTGGAAATCTGGGGAAGGAAGCCTATGGATTTCTTTTCAGAATCATAATTTTAAAGGCATAAAATGAAATACAAAAGATTACAAAAGAAACCAATCTTATTGAAATCAAAATGTGATTCTTTTCCCATCCAAGTTCACAGACCTTTGAAATCTATCCACAGATTCCAGATTAAGAACCCTCTGAGTCCATAGTCTTTAAAGGCAGCTCAGTCAAAAAGGGGAGCAGGTAGAGCTAGCTGTTCTATCCTAGAACCACCCAACTATGGCAATAGTCCAAATAGAGGTGATGAGAACCTTATGAAAGTTGAGACGAGGAGGAATGCAAGAGGTCTCATGGCTTGGCAACTTATTAAAGGGGTGAAGGTAGAAGAAGAAGGAGGAAGGAGAGGGAAGAGGTGAGAATGACTTGAAGTTCTTGAACATGGGTGACTAGAAGAATGATGGGACCCCCAACAGAAACAGCAATGGGTGAAGGAAGTTAGGGTATAAGCAAGAAGACAATGAATACAGTTTTGAACATATGAAGATTGAGATGCCAATGAGATATTCAGGTGAACAAGTCCAGCAAGAATTGGTTGAATGATCATCCACAAAGGCAGTCATTAATGAGCTGGTGTCAGCTTGGAGGGAGGTCTCTAGGGAAGCACCTCAGGGGTCTAGCCTTCCTTAGTTCTATGTTGTTCAATATTTGTTATCAATGATTTATGTTACCAATGTTATGTTATCATGTTATCAATGAAAGTATCAGTACAGAAATGCCAAGCAAGAAGGGATGGCTAACACACAACAGTGGGTGACAGAGTCAGGATCCACAAATATACCAGCAGACTATATTGATTTGCTGAATCTAGTAAGATTAGTAGAAATAAATTTTAAAAAAAGTCTTGAGAAACTGTGTGGTATAATAAGTAGGATATTTGTTGGGCATGGAATTGGGACAACCTGGTTTCAAAAAAAAAACAAAGATCTTGGCAACTGATTCCATCACTTCCTGGCAAACAGAGGGAGAAGAAATGGAAGCAGTGTCAGATTTTATATTCTTCGGCTCAAAGACAACTGCAGATGGCGACTACAGTCATGAAATTAAAAGATGCTTGCTCCTTGGAAAGAAAGCTATGGCAAATCTGGACAGCAGACTAAAAAGCAGAGATATCACCTTGCTAACAAAGGTCTGTAGAGTCAAAGCTATTGCTAGTAGCTGTGAGAGCTGGACTATAAGGAAAGCTCAGTGCTGCAGAATTGACATTGAAATCATGGAGCTGGAGAAGATTTTTGAGAATCCTTTGGAAAGCAAGGAGATCAAATCAGTCAATACTTAAAGAAATTAATTCAGGCTATTCACCGGAATGTGAAATACTGAAGCTGAGGCTTAAATACTCTGGTCACATTATGAGACGACCAGACTCATTGGAAAAGATCCTGATATTGGGAAAGATTGAAGGCAAAAGGAAAAGGAGATGGCAGAGACGGATAGATAGTGTCATGGAACGAATGAACATGAGCTTGGACAGACTTTGAGAGATAGTGGAGGACAGAAGGGCCAGGCATGCCATGGTCCATGGGGTCACAAAGAATCAGAGGCAACTGAAAGAATGAACAACAACACTGGCTTCAAATCCCTCTTCTGACACTAGCTGTGTGATGCAGAGGTGAGTCATTTAAACCACTGAGAAGCTGAGGCACTTCTCCAATGACCTAGGGAGTTACAGGCACAGGTTGTGAGCTTCATCCATCCCTAGAGGGTCTGCCACTTCTAATGCCATGGAGCCTTGATATATTGGCAGAAAAGGAAAATGGCCCACTTGGCTTCAAGGAAGCAACCATCTACGTTCCACCCTTCACTTTGCCAAAAGAATTCTCACTCCTCCACTTACAGATCTCCAGTGACTCCCCAATGCCCACTCAGGAAAGCTCCAGCTTCTCTGTGGAGCATTTGGAGCTGAAGCCTGTCTTTTCAGCTTTATTGCATAGTACTGCCTTTTGTGCATTATCTCCTCCAACCAATGTGGGCTCTTCTCTGCCCCCTCTCTTATGAGAGGCTTTCTCATCTGTAAAACTCACCACCCCACCCCACTCCCTTCTCTCATTCAGGTGTCCAGAGGAAAGTATTTTGGAAACCTTAAAGCATTAACAGTAATGTGAGTCGGTCAAGTTCATGGAGAACTTCCTCCAGTTGGTTCTGTGTGGGTTACAACCATCCTAAGGTCAGCATCTCCTTTAGGCTGGTTCTTTTCCTTATCTCTCTTCTTATCTCTAGAATTTCCTTATCTCCCGGAAAGATGGACAATCTTGATACTGATCCTCAGCAAAATTCTACAATTAGTATTTGTACTGATCATTTGTAAGCCTGTAGGTATGGAAGCTGAGATCACTAATGGCAAGTAACACTAAGTAACCTCATTTCCTTTTTAGATAAAGTTCATTTGATAGAACAGAGGAATAACATTGATAGGCACAGGATTTAGAACTGGAACTAGATGGACAACAGGGACCTGGATTGGGGAAGGGATTTAAGATCATAGACTGTCGAAGCTCGATTATCTCATCAAATCCCCACATTTTATAGAGAAGGAAATTGAAGATCATAGGATACTAACTCTGGAGCTAGAAGGGATTTTCAAGGCATTTAGGGTTAGGGTTAGGAGGAAACAAAGGCCCAGAGATGTCAGGTGATACAGGTATTAAGCAAACTTGGGATTTGAACCTGAGCCTTCAGACTCCAAATCCAGCACTTTTGCCACTTTCCAACATCTCATTCATATGTTCGAGAATACTGAAAACACTCGATGTCAAGGCCAGGGTGTGGCCTAATAGTATGGCAAGGCTCTCTACTCAGCCCTGGATTAGAATCAAAGGATCACAGATTTCAAGCTGAGAGAAGCCTTGAGTACAAATCCATCATTTTACAGAGAAGAGAATTGAGGCCTAAAAAATGTAAAGGACTTGCTCAAGGTCACATAGACACATAGTGTGGCAGAGCCAGTATTTGAACCCAAGTCCTTTGACTCTAAATTCAATTCTCTTTGCACTGCACTACTCTCCCTCTTAATCAAGGATCAACCTTTATCCCCAAGCTCTTCCTTCCATATCGTTCTTCTGACCCTGCTCTGGGTAGGCCTCTTTGGCTGTTGGCCCATTACTTCCAAACTCAGATTCTATTTTCCTACTTAACCCTCTAGACCTGGCATCTCAGAGATTTCTGACCTCGATTCTTGGACCATGTTTTCCTTGTTCAACCAACATTGTTCTTGGCCAATACGTAGCTAGCAGAGGCAGTGTGGTCAAGGGAAGAACCACTGGTTTTGGAAGCAGCTGGAAAAAGTGGGTTCAAAGGCCAGCTCTGGTGCAAAGCCCAGCTATGATCTTGAACACTTCCCGTTTCTGGGCCCCCTTTCCCCCCTGTATTTGTTTAAAGTCACCTTGGACTCTGTCCTGCAATTTTTCCTAGGATCACAGACAGAGGATCCAGTGGATCCAGCACAGGGGTGAGGAACCTATTCATGTTGGAAGGCCGCATTAATATTCAGCTGTAATCAAATAAGGCTTCATTCAAGAAATTTAAATTAGATATACTTAAAAATGTACATTATTTTGTAAAAGAAATCTAACTATTATATACTTAATAATTTCAAAAATGAAAATTATTTGTTAATTTTAAAGTTAACTAACCTTTTAATGACTTTGTTGTGTATGCTTTTTGTTGGAAAGCATTTGAATATTTCAATGCAGCAGGGAGGTCCCCAGTTTTAGTTGATTCTCTAGATGGGTATCAGTCATTTGTGACCTTAAGGGCATCTTGATTTGGGTTAGGTAGGAGAATGCAGATTCACAGCAATAAGTGGGTAAAAAGCAAGAAAGCATTTTTGGGCATGTTGCTGAAGACATGGGTATTCTACTGCACTTTCCCATATTTCAATTAGATCTTTCTTAGTATCAATGACTTTAAAATGTCATCTACTGAGAGCTCAATCAATTCCATCTGTAGTTCTTTAGGTATCTTGGTGATATCAACTAGGTGAGGATGCAATGCTAATTTGAGTGTGATGTCATAATTCTCAAAGTTAGTGAAACTTTCATTGTATTCTCCAATTAATAGGTC